ATTATGTCCATTTGTTTTCCTATGGGACTTGAAAATTTCAGGTGGTTTCGGGGTTCGGTCTCCACATATAGGCTTTCTTGTTAATAGATTGAGGAAGGTCTCCACATATAGGCTTTCTTGTTAATAGATTGAGGAATATTAATTGGCTCTTTCAAAAAGTGGTCTCGAATTGGAGAGGGGACTAAGAATTAGATGGGGTATCGAATTGCAATCTTCAAAATAGAAATCCAGAGGAAAACAGAGACCTTCAAAACAGAGACTCACTTTTATTTTTAAGCCGTAAATCCAAGTAGGTATACAAGCAAACTTCGATGCTCGAGCAGAGAGTAAATAGAGGGCTAGACTTTTTTGAAGCCTAAACATTTCGAAAAATTTTGATCAAATATTTCACAACCAGAACTTTCCTAAATCAGGACTTTTTAGGACCTGCCAGGCTGGCACATCGCGAATGGCACCAGCGAATTTAGATTTAGGAACATCGTTCCAAACTAGCCGGAAAATCTGTTCCAATACGGGCAAGTCCTTACCCATGGCTCAGGAATCAGAAGCTACTGTATGGCTTTTTAGGCATACAGATGTCAAATTTAAAGAAAATAGATTACTTGTTATACTGTATCACTCTTTATATTTACTCTAGGCTCGGTTTCGGTGTTGGGATGGGGTGGGGGGAGGGGAGACTACTAAAATTCTCAGACGGTTTGAATCAACACTTACTTCATACATTATGGGAGTATGGTCCACTCATGACACCAGTGTGGTTGAGAAACTAATATTTTAATGTTTTGATTTAGGCCAACTTACTAGTAAGGATATAACAGTCATAAAAACAACATGTATGTAAGAGCCAGGTGTGTGCAAGGGAGGGGGTGTTGGGCGCTTAACACATTTGGTTTTCAAACTGACCTGCAACACCTAACCACGGATACAGGATTTTATAGTTAGTGGGCTCTGAGATCATTTTCATCCGAGCCCCCATCATTATTGGTGAACAACCTTTGAATGCCCGGAAATAGATGCTGACAACATGAAGAGCTGCTACCTCCCCATTCTGCTGTACATTGACGGACAAGAGATTTAATGTTAGTGGGGACTAGAGTTCATGGTGGTGTTCAGACCCACCATGAAGAAATGTAGGTCTATTGTGAAAATGATAAACCCTTCAAAAATTTAATTTGTCAATGCCATAACTAAATGAATTGAGTTGATTATTTCTTCATGAATAAAACGAATACATTACATGAGTAACAGTGCCTGGTTTGATCTGGCCGCAAACATATATATTTACACAACGTGCCAGGTACTGTGAAATATAAACAATATGCAATTAAAAAAAAAAAACATGTGTTATATATTCACAGGATGTAATATGCTATATGCATTATTAATTAATAGGCCTACAAATATAAGTTTCGAATAACATATGGCTGATACAATTTTAATTACACTTACTTATTAATATGAGCTTACTATCATTTGAATTGATAGAAATTAAGCAATAATATTAGGCCCATTTATCACGATTTGTACTATCACTTGAGTTGTTAAAAGATTTTCAATTAAGTGCTCTGTTATGTTTGCTTCTGCTACGCATGATATCGATTTCACTTTAATTTTAGTCAAATCTTGATACAGGATTAAAAGTTTTAAGTGTAATCATGGCCGACTTGACAAATTAGCCGACTCCAACGCCCAAAAATGTATAAATAGTTAATTGTA